GGGGAGGGGGAAAGGAGTTTGGGGAGCAGAAGTGGCCTGAGATCAAATCCATCCTTGATGGGTCCCCAAAGGCATGGGTGGTATCTACACATCTTTACTAAGTTTGCTTTCCTTGGGGGAATCCCCCATGCCTACATGCCGCCACCATCCCACTATAACCTTTATCAAATAAGGGAACAATGTAGCAATGCCTGAGAAATTGAGTCAGACATAGGCCTGAAGTGCCTACTGGCCTCTGAGCTAAAGAGGAAGTAATGGCTTGGTGCTGTCTGAGAAACAGATGAGTACCTTGGAGGCACTGAGTCCAGTCCAGCTCCAGTTTAGGTATGGAGGCCCCTGGGGTGGTGATTAGGGTTGGCCTTATTCCTTTGCCCTTTGAACTTCTCAATGGTACCTTCCACCCACAGCAAGAGCCCAATATAGTGCGGCTGGGCTCGGTGGCCACCAAGCTGTGCAAGATACTGAACATAGCACCACCCAATGTGTGCCAGTCAGCAATCCACCTCTTTGAGAACGACATGATAGAGGTGTGGACACGCTCCGTGCTGAGTCCATCTGAGGCCTGTGGCCTGCTCCTGGGCTCCTCTTGTGGACACTGGGACATTTTCTCACCTTGGAACATCTCCTTGCCGGATGTACCCAAGCCAGTCCCCAAGCCACCAGCCCCACCAGCCCCAGGTGCACCTGTCAGCCGTGTCCTCTTCCTCACGGATCTGCACTGGGATCATGACTACCTGGAAGGCACAGACCCTAACTGCCCAGATCCACTGTGCTGCCGCAAGGGCTCTGGCCTGCCACCCACCTCTCAGCCAGGTGCTGGGTACTGGGGCGAGTACAGCAAGTGTGACCTGCCCCTGAGGACCTTGGAGAGCCTACTGAGTGGGCTAGGCCCTGCTGGTCCTTTCGATATGGTGTACTGGACTGGAGATATCCCTGCCCATGATGTCTGGCAACAGTCTCGTCAGGACCAGCTGCGTGCCTTGAACACCATCACAGACCTCGTGAAGAAGTTTTTGGGACCAGTGCCAGTGTACCCTGCTGTGGGCAACCATGAGAGCACACCCGTCAATGGCTTCCCTCCTCCCTTCATAGAGGGCAACCAGTCCTCACGCTGGCTCTATGATGCCATGGCCAAGGCATGGGAGCCCTGGCTCCCTGCGGAAGCACTTCGAACCCTCAGGTATTTAAGATCCATGGCAACCTAGGAAGGGAGATGGGTGAGTGAGAGGAGGAGGGAACTTGGGTCACTTTCTCTGACTTCTCCAATGTGTGTCCTAAGCATACTCCAGTGCCTTTCTAACCTGACTCCACCTTTCCTTTCTCCCTTATCTCTTTCAGAAGCCAACTACATAACCTATCTCTACGCCCTAGGTTGTCATTGTTTACGTTGGCCCTCTCTAAAATGATTTTTCCCCTCCTCTTTAGCCAACTTCTCCTCAAGTCAAATCATCTTCCCCTCAAAATGGTCTGTACTTCCTACCTGAGCTCACTTGTGTCTCCACCCTGAACTCCTGGAGCCCTCAGCTCTCTAAGCCATTTTTCTATCAATACTGACCCTTTGTGTTGCTTCGTCTTCAGCTAGAAAGTGAGCTCCTGAGGGAGGATCTGATGTCATGCATATCTCTGTCCAGCACAGGGCCAAGCAGGCACAACCAGCATTTCCAATAAGTGTAGACCCCCTTTGTTTACTTTGTTTCAGAATCGGGGGGTTCTATGCCCTTTCTCCACGCCCTGGGCTCCGCCTCATCTCTCTCAATATGAATTTCTGTTCCCGGGAGAACTTCTGGCTCTTGATCAACTCTACAGACCCTGCGGGACAGCTCCAGTGGCTAGTGAGGGAACTTCAGGCTGCTGAGGATCGAGGAGACAAAGTGAGGGGCAGTGGTGGGACACTGGTGGAGGTGATGAAGGTTGGGGGAGAAGCAGGCTCTGCCAAGCTGGAGCACCTGTAAGCAGAGAAGCTTAATGTCCTGGTGTCCCTAATGTAAACTATTTCCTGAGGAGGATTCACTGTCAAAAAGCCCTTCATCCACTCCCCCTCTTTGGGTAGGGGTCTCTGGATCCCAATAACTACCCTTAACTCTCCCCCCTAGGTACATATAATCGGTCACATTCCCCCAGGGCACTGCCTGAAGAGCTGGAGCTGGAATTATTACCATATTATAGCCAGGTTAGCAGGGAGAAGGAGGAGTGGGAGGTGGTGGGGGTGGGAGTGGAGAGTCTGTGGGTTGGAATTTCCTCAGCCACTGCTGTGTGTGCTGAAGAGCCCACTTACTGGAGGGAGTTGGAGAAAGAGCATCCTGACTCCCCAGGATCTCTCCCTTCCCCTCCTTACAATCTTCTGAGTGCAACTATCTTCTGGGCAGGTACGAGAACACCGTGGCTGCTCAGTTCTTTGGCCACAATCATGTGGATGAGTTTGAGGTCTTCTATGATGAGGAGACTCTGAGCCGGCCACTGGCTGTAGCCTTTCTGGCACCCAGTGCTACCACCTACATTGGTCTTAATCCTGGTGAGTGGGGTAAAAAGAAAAGGAGCTTCCTTTACCCTGGGGATGGTGGAAGAGACGGGGAGAGAGCCCAAGTCCACTTGGGGCAGGCCTGATGTCTAACCCTCCCTAGAGTTACCTTTGCCTCCTTCCCCTCCAGTCAGCCTTCCTTTTTTATAGGTTACCGAGTCTATCAAATTGATGGGAACTACTCCGGAAGTTCTCACGTGGTCCTGGACCACGAGACCTACATCCTGAACCTGACCCAGGCGAATGCACCAGGAGCCACACCACGCTGGCAACTCCTCTACAGAGCTCGAGAAACCTACGGGCTGCCCAACACACTGCCTGCTGCCTGGCATGACCTGGTCTACCGAATGCGGGATGATGACCAACTATTCCAGACCTTCTGGTTTCTTTACCACAAAGGCCACCCACCCACAGAGCACTGCGGTGCCCCCTGCCGCCTGGCTACTCTGTGTGCCCAGCTCTCGGCACGAGCTGACAGTCCTGCTCTATGCCGCCACCTGGTGCCGAATGAGAGCCTCCCGGATGTCCAGGGCTTATGGCGAAGGCCCCTGTTCTGCTAGGGCCAAAGGGATGAGAGTCAGGAAAGTTCATGTCTTAGGAAAGGAACAAAGGCCTGAGTGCTGCTGTGAGTCAGTCTGGCGAGAACACCGCATGGAAGAGCCCATCCTAGGGCCCCAAATATGCTGGGGAACAGGACCTTCTTTCCTGGAGCCGGTTTGGCTGGATTTGGGAGAGGGTTTGGCTGTTCTACCCGTGCCCAGCACCAAGATTCTCCTGGGATTCTGTCCTCTCACAGCTGTGGAGCTTGAGGTCTAAGTGCCCCGGGGCAGCCAGACAGAAGCTGTCCTGTTGCTGCCCAGGTAGAAACCTTGCACTGCTGCTACTTGATCCTGTGAGGTTGATAAAATAAAGAAGGACTTGGTACTGCGTATCTCTAGGCCTGTCTCGATTTCTTTTCAGGCAGGCTGGGCAAGGGGACCTGTGGACCACAGTCCTTTGGTAAGGTGGGCAATGGTGTAGTACACAAAGAGGAGGTCACACAGCAGCGCAGACAGACTTTATTAGTGTTATCAGTACAGCAGAGGTGCCCATAGAGCAGGGGAGAGGGGACCCATGCCTAGACCAATCCTCTCCTCCTCTCCCTTCTGGGCCTTATGAGGATGGGGCCTGGCCTGGACCAGTTCCTCCTGCTCCACCTCAAACACTGCGGGGGGGGGGGGGGGGGGGGGATGGGTGGAGAGCCCGGAGCTGGCCTTGCTTCCTGATTCTCTCATCATTAATCCAGTGTTACCACTTCCTTTAAGGAATTAGATCTTCCCTTCCCAGCCCCTAGGCAGGGAACCCTAATTACTGAGGAGGGGCAGCTTTGGGGGACCTGAGGCCTAGTAATGGCATCCAGAGCCCCTTCCTGCCCCCAAACCTTTGAGTTCCCTGGGGCCCAACACAAGCAGGTGGAGGGAGGTGGAAGGAGGCTTCTTCATGGAGTCTGGGCTCCCAGACGTTTGGGTTTGATGGAGCCCCACAGCGACTGAACACCCCTGCGGACAGTCCACCCTACACGCCTGGCGACAGACTCTGCAGGGGGAGCCGGGAGGCAGGAGGTGGAAGTCTGGGAGCGGGCATCCAGACACTTCTGGTAGCGGAGCTGCACAGAGGCAAGAGGAAGCAGTCATTCTGCAGCTGATCTCATGGGAGGTCACAGCACCACCCTGTACCCTACCTGCTTACCATGCACGCAGCCTGCACAGCCTCCGAGAGGCTGGCAGCATTGGGCTCGCACCAGAACATGTGGCAGCAGAAGGAGGCTGGTCCGGCAGCCATGATGAATGCAAATGTGTGGACATCTCGGCCCACAGCCAGAAAGGAGAGGAACCGCACCCGACACTCCCCGAGCACTGCCTCTGTCTGGAGGGAAGTAATTCTGTTAAAAAGGGACTTTCATCCACTGGGAACTGATGGCACATGCCTGTAATCCTAGCTACTCAGGAGACTGAGCTCTGAGGATCATGGTTCAAAGTCAGCCCCGGCAGGAAAGTCTGTGACACTCTTATCTCCCATCAACCACTAGAAAACCAGAATGGAGCTGTGGCTCAAAGTGGTAGAGTGCTTAGCTTTGACCAAAAAAGCTCAAGGACAGCACCTAGGCCCTGAGTTTAAGTTCCATGATCACTACCACCACTACCACCACCAACAACAACAAAAAGAGCCTCCACAGAGGCTCATCCATCTTCCCAAGAGCTCTTCCCCTCACTCCAGTTTCCCTCCCATGCCTTCTCCTGCCTTGGTTCTTTACCTGCTGGTGCAAGATGGTGAGGGTGGCAGGCGCCACGCTCACATGACTTGGGGTCCACTGCTCACGGCTACTGGAGGACAGGACTGACTCTAGGGCGCCATTAATCACATCTACCCCTAGAAGAGATGAACAGGCCATTAGCACCATGAGGGTAAGGAAAGGATACCCCAGCTCTACCTTAGACCTGTCAAACATTTCCAAGTCAAATTTGTGGCCCTAGCTCCATCCCCATGCCACCGGCCTGCAGCCCAACCAGGCATCCTTTCCTGGAGTTCTCCTCCTTGGCTTCAGTGACTTGACGTTCTGCTGGCTTTGTTTTTTTTTCCCCCTTATTCTTAAATAGGGTTTAATATTCTTCTTCATTTCTGAACACCATAGTTTTGTTTTTTTTCTACCTTGAAATCTATGTTTGCTTGGGGTTTTTTTGTTGTTGTTTCTGCTTTTGCTTTTGCTTCACTGCCTCTGTCTCTTCCTCCAGGCTCCTACACTGAAAGACTTTCCTCCTGTGGAAAGATTGGACATCTCCATCTCTGGCTCTGTGTGCCCGTCCACATTAAAACACTACACTTCACACACAGACTCCCAAATCGGCTAGGCTATCCTTTCCCAAGACTCTGACATGTTGTTTTGTTTTTTTTTTAAAGACAAAGATAGCCATTTAGGGAGCATTTTAGCTGGGTGACACCGAGATAATTCATTAGACTTGATTGTCTCCTTTTTGCCCACAAAACCACCTCTGTCTGTATGTCTGAGTGCTGTCCCTGAGCTTCTTTTTTCTTTTTTACCCCTCAAGTGGTAGCACTTTACCACTTAAGCTCCACTTTTGCTTGTTTTGGTGGTTAACGGGAGATAAGAGTCTCATGGAATTTCCTACCTGGGCTAGCTTCAAATCACTATCCTCAGATCTCAACCACATGAGTAGCTAGGATTACAGGTTTGAGCCACCAGCACCTGCTTCACAAAACAATCTTGTAAGAGTATATTTTATTACCAATTTACAGATGAGGAAACTATAGCTGACAGAGACTAGGTTATGGACCTTAAGTCACAAAGACAAATGAGGATCTGCCTTTCCTCCACCTCGTCTCTATATTTATTTTCAGAACTAGAACAGTGTTCAAAATCTTATTTTACTAAAAAAACTTCTGTAATATACTGGGCATTGTGGTGCAACACTGTAACCCCAACAAGACTAAGGCAGGTGCACAAATAAGTAAGTTTGAGCCAACTCGAGGTACCCTGAACTACAGCCATGGGAGCAAAACCTTATCTCACGACCATGCTGTTGGCAAGAGCTTATCTAAAACAAAACAAAACCTATACTATAGATAATGGTCAGGAAACCCAAGGTGTCATTTCAGATAAATAACCTGTCCCTTAAAACACTATGGTCTCCATCAGCCCAAACTGCTCTTAGACACTTCCATTCAGGTATCCCACTTTCTCCTAAATGCAGAGAACCAACACAGCATACAGCTTGGCAGACACATAAGTTCTAGCCCCACTGTACAGCCAAGCTGGCTGTGTGATTGCTGTGTCTTGGCTCAGGGTCTGCACAAAAGGTATATGCCTCCATGGTCCACTTCCAGACCTCTTAGGCTTCCAAAAGTAGACCCTGTGGCCCCTTTGTGTATACAAGACAAAGCAGAGGAGAAATGTTTCCCTTGAAAGTCTCCCAAGATCCTGATCTTGCTCATCTTACTTCTAGCTGGATGAAGGCCAAAATATTCTCCCAGGTATGCAAATCTTCTAAAAACTGGACCAGCTGAGGTGGTAAGCCACATAATTTCACTGCTCCCTGAACTTCAAATGATGCGTGTATCATTTAACATGTAATCTTGGCAAATGGGCTGTAGAGGCAGATGGGAAATACAAAGCAAGAGTCCACCTCCTCAGCAGACCTTTTACTAAGGGAGAAGCCTTTGTCCTGAATGCCCTGCCTGACAATTCCAGAATCTTTTCTTTTGGTTCCCAATTGGGAGGCTTCTTCTGGGGCGGGAGGGGACCAGTTTTGGGCCGGTTTTTTACCATAGTCTTTTATAACATCTGGAAGCCTTTTTTCCACACTGGACTGTGGCCATCTCAAGGACACAGACCACATTTAATTCATCTCTAATGTCCTCAGTCCTAATACACAACTTAGTGTGAGAGGAATTCCAGATATATGGGTAAACTTCAGGATGCTTTACAGGCAAACAAACCAAACTGATAAAAGCCAAGTAACATAAGAATCCATGGGAGGGG